ATCTGGCCGATGTATAGCTCCCCCGGCCGCGGCGCGGTCCGCCAGATGCGGCCGCCCCGGGAGCCCCGCCGCCTGCTCCTCGCTCCCCTCCGCCGCGGCCGGCCAGCCGCACCCCTGTCGGGGTCGGTCACAGGCACAGCCGCAGGCGGGGTCGCGACCTCCGGTGGCGCGGGAACGCGGGCAGACTCAGATGGGGCGGCCCGGACCCGGGCAGGTCGGGTGGTTATCACGCGGTTTCTCAGCTGATCGGTGACCGGGCCGCTCAGGGCGCCGCCGGGTCGCCTACACCGAGCATAAGGCGGGGCCGGGGCCGGAGCAGCGGCTAGCACCAGCAGACGGGCGACGGCCAGCACGGCCAGGCACCGGAGCAGCTCCGGATGCATCTCGACAGGTGAGCTGATCTGGAAGGGCTTGTCTAGGCCGCAAACGTCTCGTCGGCAGCAGGCATCGGCGAGCCGACAGGCCGACAGCGCACCCCACCCGCTACGCCACGATCCGTCACCGAGACACCGTCCCCCCCTACTCTTTATCCACCGGGTTCCTATGGCTCAGCACGGGCAGCAGCCGCCTGGTACCGGTAGGCTGTGCCGCATGACCCGAGAGTGAAGCGGCACAGCCTACTCACACTGTATGACACCGGCTCGGGTCGCCTGGTAGAGCGATTTGACCGGACGCTGCGTTACACCGGCTGGGGGGGGGGGGGGGGGGGGGGGGGGGGGTAAGGGTCAGGCCTGTCTATTTGGCTCGGCTCGGTGGATGAGGCGGGCTGGAGTGTGGTGTGGGGCGAGGGTGATGTGGGGAGGGAGTGAGCGGACCTGGGGCTGGGTTTGTGTGTGGTCACTTGTCGCTAGAACCGATCGTAATCCACCCTCCAAAAATTCGCTTTAGAGATATTCACAAAACCCAGGGGGGTTCAAACACCCATCTCCCAAGTGGGGTGCGGAAGGACAGGTAAGGGTCCATACGGTCTCCTCATGAATTGCAGCAAAGAAAGAAAACAGACCTGTCACCAAATAATCTTTCTGAAAAGTGGACTAATCGCATAGCCTCGGACATAGAAATAAATATCCAGCACGCGAAGCGTCTCGAACCGGGCCTCTCACTACCGGTCAGTTTGACAGTCTAGCACTCCTACGCTGAGCTACACCGGATGGTGGCCACGGGCGGGGCAAAGTCTGGCCGGGCGGGCGGCGGGGCCGGGAGGTCGGCAGCAAAGTCAATGAATGTTTTTGTGGTTTCGGGTGCCGGTCGCTCTAGCTTGGTGGAATGATGATGGATCATTGGCAAAACTTTCAACGTGGAGTCCCGGTTCGAGCCTCATCGGGGCTCCGGCTACTTTTCCGAGTTAGGATCTGGTTTGATTTTAGTGGTTGCGAGCCATTTATACGGTTTTATATCTTCATGTCGATTGTCGATTGATTGGTTGATTCATTAATTCGTTCATTTAATACATGTCGACATTTAGCATACGAATTGACATCCAGGATCAATCCGATCAATCTACCATTTTCATAAGCGTATTGCCTAAATATCATGCATATATGTGGCACAAGACCTATGGTTGCCTCGATACCGTGCCAAATCACGTTTTGCACAATGCACAAGTAAATTATATTCGCTGGGTCTTCCGTGCATTGTGCTTAGCAAAAACAGGAATGCAATAGGGTTGGGACCTATCTGCATGCTCTGTATGTTTTGGTAAAATAAAAAAGCTCAGAATTTTTAATGATTTAATTTAAAATCACTTTGTTAAAAAAATGCCTAGTTAGTTCAGAAATTAATTATTTGTGGCTGAAAACAACTTGCTTCTGATTGGTCGGGCTAATCATGACGTCACATGTAGGTATATAACTGTCTGTATATTTGGCGCAGTTGAGACATACATTTTCTATGTATTTTCCTATGGTAAATCGGAGTGATTGGTCGTGTTTTCAGTGTCTCTTTATTTTGCGCTGGTATTGCGTGGCTAAGAAGTTTTATCAAGAATGGCATATACTAAAATGTTCCTTTAATAATGGAGCTTCAATATCTGTGAGTTTTATTGGCAAGCGAAAACTGATTTCGCCGTTATTTTATCTGGAAATTACTCATTTTTTTTAGGTCAATATTCAAAGTATTTTACGGGAACAAGTTGGCACTTTTCTTGATTTTTGCACTCAAATCGCGTGCGATTCAACTGTATTGGAACTTGCAAAGAAGCTTGGTGATTAATTAACTGTGTTGTTATGGCACTGTTTGCAAAGCATGGATAATGAAACTCTGCCAAAGACTTAGCTACATAGCAATGCCTCAAGTAATACGCAGGAGGAACAGAATTCAGAGTCCGATCGAGAAGAATCGGCGCAAATGCTACGAAGACCAGGCAGCTCTGATACAATAGCTAGTCGTCTCACTACTCTCACTCCATTAGACCAGCTGATTCCTGACAGCACCGACTCGGATGCAAAGATGGAGCTCATCTTCCAAGCCAGAAACCAGTTCTTTGATGGAAGATGTGATGCTGCCTCTGTCTCTGCTTTGTTGGCCACTTTGGACGGGGCGGAGCTCCGCTCCTTGCGTGAGCGGTTATTCGCCTGTCATCCTATGTATCCTATGTATCCTATGTACATGTTTGTATGTCCTATGTATGTTTGTTTTAAAAACGTTGCAGCGGCGCTGAGAACTGCAGTCTTAGATCTGGGTATGTTTGGCATCTGCAACTCTTCATATACACATTAACCCTATTTCGGACGGGGAGACCTTTCAGGATTTTCTTGTACAATTGCCAAACGCCGCGAGACATTCAGCTCATATTTGGTGACTTTTCCTAAATGCTCATTGCGCACATCTCAGCAAAAAAAAAAAAAAAAAAATGCCGGGTCAGGTCAGGTCAGGTAACCAGAGCGGGTTTGTTGACCCCACCTCAGAAAAGTTTGCAAACACGTCAGAGCTTGAGTTTTTCACGAAGTTATTTCCTCTCATCAAGTCTTTAAAACAGTACCTGCAGTATGTGTCGTTTGTATATCTCAGAATTTTTGATCTGTGAGTTGTGACCTGAGGTTAGGTCAGAGTCGTGACCTTTACATTGCAAGCCTATGGAAAAGTATTGAAATGCGACCTGCACCTCTAGTAAACGAGTCAAAACCACCCAATTCTTTAAGAATTATGACAAATTATCTTATCTGTAATGATCCAGGTGCCGTTTACTGACAGGGACACCGGAGAGGGTTATCTGAGCCGAGATCATGTGAGGTGATATCTACCATACATCAATGCTCACAATACTTACAATATTGACAATGCTTTTGCTTACAACACTTACAATACTTACGATGAGACCAGCAAGCACTCTGCCGTTACAGTTCTAACTTCTGCTTCGAAAAACGACGTTACACACATTCGCTGCCAGCATAACATGTATTGTTTGACAGTAACAAAATACAATTGACATCTGAACCCCAAACGGACCGCCATCCACTCAAATTTTATAACCCTGACCGGTCAGGGGGCGAATGGAGGTCATTTCCTGGGCATTACACTCAGCCCTTGCACAAAATATCTCACCTCACAGTGATCATTACAACAATAGCACCGACTTGATAGTGGATTTCAAAGTACTTGCATCAGCTCTTCCTGCTATTGCAGACGATCACCTCCTCAGGGTAATGTTGTTCGGGACATGAACGAAGATCGTTTTCGGAGTTTCATAAGTGCTACTGCAACAGCCTGGCACAAAACAGGACTTGTACGCTCTTCTCTGCACTTTGCCCTTCAGTATATCACAAAAGAATTGTTTAGAATCCATCTTACGCTTCTTTCACAGTCTCCCTTGCCACCGTAGGGCGTAGATAGATTGCTGTTGCTGGTAAGTTAAGGCACGGTAGATAGAAATTACCTCGGTTCTCAACGCCTTAAGTTATTTTCATAAAAAAGAACAAATAAATGATCAATAAGATGACAGAAATGTAAACATTTTAATCGTAAAGTAGTCCAAATATTGGAATGAGCTTTTGCTTTTCAGCATCCTCCGATTCATCATCTTTATCATTTGAAAATTTGAGGTACATAAAATGTTTATCACGCGCTCATGTTAAGTGGGAATATAGTACACGGCAGACACATCATTTTTTGACACTGAACATTTCATCCGTAAATGTTTTAGCATAATTTAAAGTTAAAAACAGCGCGAATGGCAGAGTGAAGCAAACAACATCTTTCACCCATTGATATAACATGTAATCTGTGGTGCGCCAGATGCGCCATTATTTGTCAACCGCAGAAGGTGACATGTGACGTAACAGCATCAAGAGCATCTTTTTTTCAAGAACTTTTCAAAACAAGTTTCCTATCTTTCTCTCCCCATTTCTCTCAGCTTATTGATTTTATGAGGCAATGGTATGCACCATAAATTCTGTGAAAATAGTTTGATCATTTTCATGCATTCTTAAAAAATCGAGTTCCCAACCCCATTGTTAAGCGACGCAAAATGTGCAATGCAGCAAGTGACCACACACACCCGCCCAGCCCCCATGGTCCACCAACACGCCCCACACCACTCGCCAGCCCACGCCAACCACCGAGACGAGCCCCTCCCCCCGCGCTGGTCTGACGCGACAGCTGGTCTACAAAGCGCTCCACCCGGCGACCCGAGCCGATGTCAAACGGCGTGGGTAGACTGTGCCGCTTCACTCTCGGGTCATGCTGCACAGCCTACCGGTACCAGGCGGCTGCTGCCAATGCTGAGCCATAGGAACCCGGTGGATAAAGAGTAGGGGACCATCAACCTGTACACGACTGTACCCACGTCCACCGAGCGACCCCTCACTTGTCCTTTACTGTACCGAAAAGACTTTCGGCTGGCCACGGGCGAAGCAGCCAAGGAGTCCGAAATAAAGTTTAGGTAGCATGGACTGTGGTTTTGTTACAAATGCAAGACTTCAAAAATTAAGGCTCGCGACTCACAGTCACACTCGAGCCTCTATTCAGGTTTCGCGATCTGTCCTCACCCCTGTCGGACTCACCTCTAAGTGGCGATTTCATGGCGGCCTCCACCAGGCCGGAGAGCAGCTGCATCGACTTGGGGTCCTGCGCCAGGCCCTGGCTGAAGGCCGCCAGCGCCTCGCCATGGCGACCCATGCACTGGAGCGCCACGCCTTGTCGGTAGTACGCCTGAAAAACAGAGGAGGTTCGGGTCAGTGGGACATGTCAGCTATCGACTCAGGGGAATGCAGAACCTCCTCAAAGCGTACAGAAGGGTACAGATACATGCGGGCCTGGTCGGGACCAGCTGGCGGGACACCTTGGGTCGGTTAGCGCAACTTATTCTAACGGTGAAGTTGGTCTACGGCAATCGGAGACAACTTGGCTGCGTGCACCCCGTCATCTTCCCAAACCATTGTGCAGTCTGAGCATGGTAAACGCATGGTACGATCCATTCCATGCCAGAGAGCGTAAGAGCCTGAATGACACCGCGATGATGAATGCCTCCATGGTAATGATTGCGCAAGTCGGTAGCAGCACCCCTTGGCGAGCCACCACCATGTGATCAGCATATTCGAAAAAGTATGATAAATGACCGATGACAACCTTTTTGGGACAGGTGGAAAGCCATCCGGCGACAGGCGACAGCCTAGTATGACAAACGAGCGCCCAGTAGAAAGGAGCGTAAGCCGCTACGAATGCTGAACACTTTTGTTGCCCGCTCACTGATATGCAAACAGCGTCCGTGTCCAGAGCGGACTTCAAAGCAAAAACCGCCGCCGCACGCCACGACAGCAGTGTCGCCACGAGCCACTAATTTTTAGATGGCGCCTGAACATCCCGTTGGCTTAGTTCACCCCGCCCAGGACGATGACGGCAGCCCAGGAGCCCCTGCTGGGCTCGCTCGTCGGCCCAGAACGGCCGGTCCACCCTGCCCGGCCCCGTTCGGACCCGGCTCCGGCCGAGGACTGTCCGTTTTCCGGCGGCCGTTGGCGTGACAATCGCGTCCGTCCCGCAGTCGCTGTCCGGCGCCCGGTCACGGAAGCTGCACCTTTGATGGATCGCCGGCCGCCGCCCGGCGCCGCCGAGAAAGCCGGTCCCATCGCGGCAGATAACCCAATAGCGCCGCCGGCAGACTGACACACAAACGGCGGCACGGACCGCGGCGCATCGGTGCCACCGACCGGCGCCGCCCCTCACGATAATTCGGCAATTCGGACAGGTAACTGCCTTGCGTGCGTGCACCGGTAGTCAATAATGATTCCGTAAAACTATGAGTTGATTGGAGAATGCTGAATGACCGTTGGGGTGTAACTTTCCCTACTCGTGTTGGGCAGGAAGCTGGCGGTGCAGGGCTCATCGGGAGCGCCGGCGGCCAGCCGCAGTCCGGGCGGCCCGTGCAGCCTGCGCTCGTCCTCCCTCACCGCTCTGCAGGCTCATTGTCGAGAGCAGAGCGGCCCGGCCGGGCAGGGGCGCCAAACTCAAGTTTAAATTGCCGGCCTGGCCGAGCGGGCGGCCATTTGCCTGTCTGGATGTTTAATAATTTCAGGGTCGATTGCTTCTGTATGGAGAGGAGCGCTGTAGGCCAGGAATGCGCCATTAGAGCTGGGCCCACCGCGGCCGGCCGGTGGGTGCACGGTGAGTCGTGCTGCGCTCCGCCACTCTGCCCTGCTCTCCGCTCTGTCCGGCCGGCAGGTGTCAGCGCTGCGCCTCCGTCTCCGCTGCCAGTCTGGCCGACGGCCTGACTGAGACGAGTCTCGCTTTCTACTGGAAAGCGGCCCTGGAGCCACATCGGCCATGCACGCGGCCGCCGTAACACCGTCGGCTGTCAGTTGGCTAGACGCGTCCTGTCAGCAAAAAGATGCATCCGCACCGCTCCCCGCCTCCTCCCGAATACATGCATTGGTCTGATCATAAGCAGCTCACATTCCATCGGGCTAACTCTGGCGCGCCGGTTACAGCACGAGAGCACGAGCGGCCCGCGGGCTCCGACTCAAACCAGCGACATTCCTGGCGCTGACGACCTTGTCCGGCGGCTTCACCGACGAGACTTCCCTGTCCCGCATTCCCGGCCGGGCAGCGGCCGCGCCGGTGGCCCAGAACGGAGCCGACACCGCCGGCCGCTGTCGGGAGCGTGCCGCCCGCCTCCCAGAGCGTCCCGCGAGAGATGGCCGTGCCGACCAGCAGCGCGCCGCCGCTGACGACCCACGGCCGATCCGGGCCGGCCGAGCCGCTGCCGAACCTGTTTGGACCTCCGATCGGCTGCTACAGTCCGGTCAGCGGCACGATTCGCTTGGTGAACCGTCTCAGTCGCTTGGAGACGGGACCTGGCGCAGTCCCTCCAGAGAGCAGGCCAGCGGCAGGGACGGCCTCCCGTCGGGTCGGACAGTGGCGAGGTGTCAGATTTGAAACTGACGATCACAGCTGTCCGCCCCACTCTGGCTCAAGAGGGTCCGGTTCCATCTGGCCGACACATTCCTGAGATGCCGGCCAGAGGCGGCGGCAGCGACGGCGGTAGCCGCGCTGTCGGCGGCTGGGAGCGGACGCTGCTCGGCGGCTGGGAGCGGACGCTGCCGGGACTGGTCGACGGAGAGAACCGCGCTCCATCGGGCGGCGGGCGGAGGGCGGCCGGCGGGCGCGGGCGCTGCAGCCTCCCCGTCCGCCGCCGCCTCCCTCCCAGATAGAGGGAGAGGCCTATAATCAGCGGGCGGCGGGCAGTGCCGGCGGCCGGTGCACGCGCCGACGCCGGCCGCCGCGCGCCGCCCACGGCCCTCCCCTGAGCCGCGCCGCTCGACCGACAAAGAGCGCTCGGCGGCGCTGTGCCGCCCAGCCGGGCGCGGCGCATCATTAGCCGGGCCGGCGCCGGCGCCGCCGACCGCTAACCACAGAGTGAGTGTCTCGGCCGGTCACAGTCGTCATCACGGCCGCCGGCCTCGGTCAGTGACACCGTTCCCCACGGAGCGCCGGAGTGGCGCGCAGAGACCTTCGGACTGAGGGGGAGCGGATAGAGCGCTGAGGGGCCACGCCAACTCCGGCCACCACCAGCCCCAGGGGAAGTCCACAACACTGAACCGCCCACAGCTATACCATCTGCCAGCGCCAAACGAGTAGAATCAAAACCAGTAGCAGTGATTCTTTTTCGTTGGTTATTTTGCTGACATGAGTGTCTATCATATTGTGTACAAATGTAGCCAGTGCTCCAGCAGTACTAAGCCCCAGCGCTATGCAGGGATGACATGTGGGACGATCACGCCCAGCTCAGCGTGAAAAATGTAGGAGAGAGTCGGCATCCGAATGAGCGGGAGCCGACGCCTGGGGAGAGAAGTCAGTCCTCATGATGTCGGGAGACACGGCCAGGGACAGAGAAAAAGAGGCGGCTAACAAACGCATCTGTCTTGTTATTCTCCGCTTTCGCCCGTGGGTTCTCTAACAAGCGCTGTGAGCGCGGGCAGGCCGCCGGCTCTGGCAGTTATTCAGCTTCTAGCCGGTGATTAAGCTGCCAGCGCGCCGCACGTCGGGGAAACGGGCGCCGCAACAAAACACCAGCCGGCGCGGCTGACGTCACCGACGGGGCTGCGTGCGCCGGCCGCGCGCGGACGGCCGGGACCCGGAGCCGGGGCCGGAGACCAGCAGCTCCGGCCGGCCGGCCACCGCGGCCAGACAGCCGTGTGACGATCCAGCCGCTCGGCCAGGCGCACCGGCCTCTCCGCCCAGCTGGAAAAGGGGATCAATGGGCCCTGCTCGGCGCCGCCAAAGAATGCCGCTCGAGCATGAGAGCCTGTCGGGCCGGCGTCCGCAGCTGAGCGGCGCCCGGACGGCCGGGCCGTATCGACGGCCGAATCACGCTGCCGGCCAAAGGTCGGCGGACAGGCGCATCCTGGCCGGCCCCACGCTCTTCTCATACCGGATCCCGGCCATTGGACCAGGAATCCCGCCGGTAAATGAGAGGAGCTCGGACGGATGACCAAAGGAACTTTGTCAAACACTGTCATTTGCCGCTACAATTACAGACAAATCTGCGCTTTAATTACATAGAATTACCCGGGATCAAAGACTGCGATGCCCAGTCAGAAGTGTAGGTTTCGTTTCCCACAGGAAACGAGGCATCAATAAATTGCGGGTTTCATTTGAAACCGAAAACAAAAGTTATTAGTCGAATGACAGAGCAGAACGGATGCTCAAAATTTGCATTTGACCTTACCATGACATCTCAAAATGAATCGTTACCGCAGCTCTGTGAACTGCTAACGATAAATAACAAGTAGAATAATAAATAGCAAGAGTAGCTCGACAATTCAGACAGGCAAAAATGTCTTCCCCCAAAAAACTTTTGGCTGAGTTGTTCAAAAACCGATTCAACTGCTTAGAATGCGCCACCTGCAAATTACCATACCAGCCGCACTTTTGCGTGTGTCATGCCATCGGACCTTGTTTTATTAGTGTGTTTAGTTGCGCCCAACATAATCGTAACGTGCCATTGGTGCCACATTGAGCGGTGTCATCACAGCCAAACACGCTCGGCTGCTGGGGCACAGTTTGGATTAGTGATGTCAATTACGGAAAATCGGAATACCGATACCAAACCAAATACCAGCCAAAACCACGGGAAAATACCGAAACCAAACCAACTTGGGAAACTGAGGGGAATACCAACTTTTTACCGATTTCTTAGCCTCTTATACATTAGTGAGGGCTTATGATACCAACAAAATACCAAACACATTACGATTGAAATACCAAACACCAAGTTGGTATCGGTTTGGTATCGGTATACCAAAAAGTTGGTATCCGATTGACATCTCTAGTTTGGATGTGACCGTCTTAAGTTCTTTGTCCGTCCGTCCGTCCATCCGTCTGTCACCGCTTCCTCTGCCGGTACCGGTGACACCGGACGAGGGCGGCTGTCGTGCTGCGGTCGCGCCGGCCGACCGTGGGAGCCAACCGTCCGTCCGTCGGTCGGTCGGTCGGTCCGGGTGGTCGCTGCGGTGCCCAGAGGTCGGCCGGCCGGCCGGCGGCGGTCAGGGGTCGGGCCGACGCCGCGCTCCCCGGTCCGTCTCTGTTTGTCCTCGGACGCGACACTGCTCATTATCAGTTCACTCGGGGCCTGGCAGCGCCGTCCGGCGGCCGCCGTGTCGCCCGTTTGAAAAACAGCCGGCGGCGGCGGCGGTGTGCCGAGCGTCAGAGTGGGG